GGTGTCTGTCTGTCAGGGTGTCTGTCAGGGTGTCTCTCTGCGTGTCTGTCAGGGTGTCTGTCTGTCAGGGTGTCTCTGCGTGTCTGTCAGGGTGTCTGTCTGTCAGGGTGTCTCTGCGTGTCTGTCAGGGTGTCTGTCAGGGTGTCTCTGCGTGTCTGTCAGGGTGTCCCTCTGCATGTCTGTCAGGGTGTCTGTCTGTCAGGGTGTCCCTCTGCATGTCTGTTAGGCGTAGGATTCCCCTGATGGCGACAGGGCTGAGGCCACCGAACAGGGCCTGCCCCAGAGTTTACCGTCCATATTAATGGGCAGTGACATCTCTTCGGGCTCCAGCTTCTCCCATCGCATCTCGGGCACGGGGACAGCCTCCTGCACCGCACAGGAGAGTGTGACGCTCCCCCCCGCACTAGCGTCCCCCTCCCAGAGGCACAGGGGCAGAGACGGGGGTGCTGGAAGAGCGGGAAAAACCAGTGACTCGGGGGCTGATGGATTAACCACAAAGTGTCAGAAGACTGTCCCGTATCTAAAACTCAACCGCGCCATGCAAAAACTTCACCTAAAATACATTTTGAACTTGACTAAATATGCTAAGATAATTGTGATATGCTGTGATGTCATCTAAAAGTCCTAACCATCCCCTTTAAGGACCAACAGGCCTTAACAGAGAGTCATGTACAGTATGAGAAATATGAGCAAAAACAATGTCCTCTACAGAGGACAAGCACAAATTATTTCATTAGTTTTTCATTAGGTTAATATTTCTCTCTTGAATATGAAAACTGCTAAACATTCTGTCTTTTAACAAAGGCCTGTTAGTCCATTCTGTCAGGCAGTTATCGGTCAGCAAAGTTCTTTATGCGCCCGTGTGACCGGCGGCGTGGTGATGTGGCTGAGGATGTGGCTGAGTTACCGAAGACGCTGAGCGTGACTTCGCCGACACCGGGCCCCCCTGCCTCGGGGGGGTTGCTGACCACGCAGCGGTACATCCCAGCGTCGGAGGTGTGCGTGCCGTTCAGGATGATGTCAGCCCTCCAAGGCACGTCCAGGAAAGCAACCCGGCCCATCAGGACAGGGCTCTCGATCGCCTGCCCGTGATCGTACACTATTACCTAGGAGACAAAGGCCATCATATCTTGCAGTCTTCTGTAAGGGAGCACTTAGTCAATGGCTTGATTTAAAGCCAGCATCATATTATTCAATGTACAATAACGGACTGTGGTTCTGCGTGAGCTTCTCTTCTCCACCTTTTCATCTTCATAAGTTCTGTTACTTGCCCCAGATAAAGTCTCTGCAAATTACACATAGACACCAACCAGATTGTGTTTACAAAGTACTCCATCCTATAATGAGAAATCCCAATGAAATTCAAAATATAAAAGCATATTATTTAAGTTCATAAAGATCCTGCAAACACACTGCAAATTCGTAGACACTACACAAATTCAGAAAACACTTTCATCAAAATGACAAAACACGCGAAACACATTTTACAGACACGCTGCAAATATCCACAACACAACGGAAGTGTGTTTTTCTGGGTGGTCACATGCTTGTAATAATGTTTTTAACGTAAACGTTTATAACTTTGATATTAATCTGGGAAACTGCTTCGTTTTAAGTTACAGTTAACAATCATGCAATGGCAGCCATTTTTATGATTAAACTGTGCAGCTCTCTGGGCAATTATAGGCTATAGTACAGCAGTTTTTAGTCGCATCAAATTTAACATTTACCGCAAAGCAACTTAATTATTTCCTAATATAATGAAGTTGTTCTAGCAAACTGTTCAAATAGAAGATAGTGGAAACCGCTTATAGTGATCACATCTGTGTAGGTGAGATCGATCGCTATAAGCGTGTGATCATTATAACCGATTTTTTCCTCTGATATCTATATTTCTTGCACCAATATAACGTAATAAAACGGACAGCGTCATTATTTACTTAATTTTGATTTCAAGGCACAGTACAGCTGTTTCAAACGCTTTTCAAATTACAGAACTGTGTATAATTCAAATATTCGATAATACTGTACTGTACAAAAAAATAGCTTACTGTAGTTTCGCTGCTGCTTTTCGGTGGCTCGTTTTTGGCAGTTTATCATAAGCTTTGATGAGTATAATTGTCATTGAGAGGAAATGACTGTTTCATTGTCATGTGTTCTGTGCACGCAGCGTTAGCCTCGGGTAACTAAGCAGAAGCAGGCGGGCTACAGCAAAGCAAAGTAGGCGCTCAAAGTTAAGTAAAAGAATAGTAGTTTCATTTTTTATATATATGTTGTAATGTTTACAAAGATCCAAAATGAACACTGCAAGCGGACTACTTTTTTTTTTTTAAACCCCTGTCGTGTCCGGCAGTTTAGCAAGCAGGATGCAAGCGGACTACTTGACTACTATAAGCGAATTATTTAAACGGTATTTGTGCAGGAGTGATTTTAGCGGTTTCCACTGTAACTTTACTTTTCGTCTGTAAATTATCGCCATTGGCTCAATTTAAAAGTGTCCTCCGGAAACACTTCCGTTGTGTTCTGGGTGTTTGCAGCGCGTTTGTAAAATGTCTTATGAACTTGTATAATATCCTTTTCTTTACAGTTTGTTATTCTATTACACGTGCGTTTTTTATTTTGAATTGCATTGGGCTTTCTCGGCCACCGTAATACTGCCCTTGGCTGCAATATTTTCACTTTTATAATAAATGGTCACAAAACGCCGGATATGATCAGGCAGCAGCTGACAGCTGACGTGGCTCCTCATCGCGAGGGCTCATCTCAACTCTTCTGCGTTTATCTATGTTAAATTACCAGCTGCCACAGATCGAAGTTGAGTCCCCTTTGGTCACACGAAGGTCTTCACTCGCTTGATTGAATGATGTCATTTGTAGTTCTACCACCAGAGGGCGACATATAATAGCGTTCATTGCCAGCTCAGGTGACCAAATTATTCATGAGCCGTACGCCACCTACCGCACGCTGTGTACAATGTAACAGCACCTGCAGTTTCGGGAAGAGTAAGAAAGGCTTCCTCAATTAGCTTCCCCAGCCCAGGTCCTGAACTTTGTGACATCTTACCTGCGATGGGGACCGGGGGTCAGAGAGAGGAGTCTTGGTCCACACTATGTTGAGGCGGGAGAGCGGACTCATGGTGAAGAAGGAGCATGGTAGCATGACGGAGTCACCCTGGACAACGTCCAGGCTGTGCTGCCTCATGGTCACCCTCACGGCCCCTGCTGACGACCAGAGACCGGCACAGAAGGGCTGGAACCCACGTCAGCCCGGTTCCCCCCGCAGAGTCACACGTGCCTGCTCATTTTGGGTCATGCTCGTTAGGGCCGCCGGCATTAATCCCAGCAAGTGTCCTGCTGCTGGACCCTTGAACCAGTTACTTGGTTCGATTTACTCCAGTTCAATTAAGCTACTTAGGATAAAAATGTCAGCTCACCAGCTAAATAATGTTGATGTGTGAAGCTGTGACAATCACAGAAGAGTGACGTGGTAAATATCCCTTTATATACCCTACCAGAGGCACGCGGCCTATTTTGGAACTTCCTGAGACTTCTGCAGTGAGCTCTACCTCTTTTGTATTTTTAGTTGCGTAAAATAAAGTCGGAAGTATGAAAAGTTGAAGAAGGTTTCCTTTAAGGCAGGGGTGCCCAAATCCAGTCCTGGGGGGCCAGAGCCCTGCACATTTTTGGGTTTCCCCTCATTTAACACACTTGATTCACTCCTTGTGCTAATTACCACACAGCTCTTGACCTGAATCCTTTACGGTGGAACAGGGAAAGAACTAAGCTATACAGGGCTCCAGCCCCCCAGGACTGGAGTTGGGCACCCCTGATCTAAGGTAAGTGTTCAAGCCTCTGAAAACAGAACCGCCATTGTGTGGCTCCATGTTGCCCCTGATTCCCCCCCCCCCCCCCCATATGCCTCTCCGGTTGTCTGTGTGAAAAGAACAACCCTGTCCCTGTTTAATTACATATGACAGCAGCACTGGATCCACAAACAGAGCTGCAAACAGAGCGTTCCGGTTGGTTAACGCTGAATACTTTGTGTAAAGTATGTTCCCATGGAAACTTAACTTCCAACATACCAGTCAAGGCAAGATACTGGGTAGATGTCGGTTACAGACTTGCAGTTGGGGCCAGAGTGACCTGTTCGATAACCAGAAGTCAGCGTATCAGAATAACCGCCCCACATCTGACCTTGTGGTGGCTGTAGTGTTTTCTGTTTTTTCTTTCTTTAATTACCTTGCAGAAAACTTCAGATGGGAACAAAACGCCTTTTCACATGTCATCAGGTAAACTGCACGGGACAGCCTTTTTAAAACCCCAAATCTTTCACATCAGTAACTAAATTCTTGTGTTAAATAACCCAGTAAACCTACAAATTAAAGAGTCCAGTCACACTTCAAGTTGCAGATGAAAACGCTTTTCTTATTAAGTCTGATTATTAGTACCTCTGCACTTGATAATCAATCGGTTTCCAATTAGAAGTCATTTTAGATTTTCACTTGCAGCTTTCTTTGGGTTTGGTATGTGGGATATTCCAATTAACTGGCTACAAAAAGTGCAGTAGGATGTGATTTCTATTGCTTGAGGGTCTGACTCACCGCATTTAAGGAGAGAGGTCACCAAACAGGCGGCCTGCAGTAGCCACAGTCCCATTGCAAAGCCGAAAGAATTCCGTCAAACCTTCACACAGGCTCTGCTGCCCGGTCCTCTCCCAATCTCACAAATGCTCAGATATTGACTGGACAAACATAATTAAGCTATTCAGTCACCCAAGCAGGAATGTCTGCTCTCCCGTCCTTTTCACTCTCTCTCTCTCTCTCAATTCTCTCTGCTTCAGTCTCTCTCCCTTCATCTCTTCTTCTGTCTTTTGAAAATGCATATGTGAAATCTATGTTACATCACCACACGTATGCAGAGACAACAACAGTCAGAGGCCTTCCTACTATATTCTGCGAACTGAGACCCGGCTGCCTTATTGGAGTTAAATGCATCCCTTTCATTCTTTATTTCACAATGAATATTTTCATTCTGGTGACAGTTTTAATTCTGTCAGTTCTCTATTGGTGCCCTTAATATGATACATTAAAGCACCATAAGACCCTTCTCTCATTCCAGTGCACACCTTTCCTGGTGAGGGTTGCCGTGGCACCATTCTGAGCAGGGCAGATCCCCTCTGTTTCCATGGCTACAGTCTCCAGGTTGTTGTAACGGATCCGCAGGTGATCCCTAGCCAGCGGGGAACGGCTACATTCCTGCAGCACTTTCCAGATTGTGCCATTCAGCCACAGGGCAAAAGTAGGGCCTCTATCGCCTCAACACTGGCGACAGTGAGCGACGTCAAGCAGGAGCAGCCAAAAGCCGACCGTGCGGCAGATCTCACATTTGGAGCTGGTGTGCATCACAGGTCAGAACAGGCCACTGCAAAGCAGTGTTAAAACACCACTTTCTCTGTCTAAGCTAAGTTCGATCAAACAAAAGCAGCCATTTCTGCCTTGTACTTACAGAAAAACAGCAACTTTTATTCAGGCACTCAACCTAAAACCTACATATCCACACCCACAAATTAAGGAGAAAAAAAAAAAGGATAGACAGTATACGGAAACCTGAAGTTTATTTCACTCATACAAAATAAAAAAAAAATGTTAAAAGTTTACAATACAGCATTTTGTTGCCTTTCTAAACACTGAGATGTGACACAAAAATGAGTTATTTTCCAACATTGGCCCTCATTTCTGATCCACATTTTCTCACTGAATACATTAAAACAGTTTAAAAGAAAAGCTTTTTCTATCAAAGGTCAAAGTTGGAGGGAGGGGGGAACCAAACTATGATCCTGATCTATTAAATATTACGAAAACAAAGAGTCATTCTGATTTTGCCCATTTTTAATCAAAATCAAAACACAAAAAAACGAATAAAACTGAATGCTAGCATTAAATTCCCTTTTTTCCCCCATTAGAGTAACTACGACTCCAAAACTTGGACACGGTTACTGCAGATGTGCACAGCACGAGGTTATTTAATGTCACACTGGCATTTCATTCACAAGAGAAGCCAGAACGGAGACAGACGAGCGAACACGTCCAGTGCAGAGCTGTAAGGGAGAAGGTGTCCACTTCAATGAGCATGATGAATGATTACACATCAACCCGGGCTTAAATATCCCAACATCAATACTGCAGTTTCCCCTTAGGACAGGGAGAGTGACGTAGTGACTACCATCCTTATAACAAAAAGAACAGACCACTGAGGAGGAGGGGAGAGTGGGTGATTAAACGGGATGTTTGCAGACAGAGCCAGTGCACAATTTGCAGACCTCAGTCAAAGATGCGTGAATCCATGCTTGCAAGGGGTTAGAACACTGGAGATGCTGCATACGCATCACACTGCGCGGGTGACAAGCTCTCATATTCCCACTACAGTCAGCTCCAGCATAAAATACAAACTAGGGAAAATACTGTGTCAAAGGTCACGAGTAAAAATTAAATAAAAGGGAATCTTTGCGACAGGAATACAAAGCATTTATACAATTAAAACTCTCCGCTCCCCCAGCCTCTCTGTGTGAACTGTACAGAGTCAAAACAAGTCTGTGGTCATGGCTACACCCCCCCCCCCCCCCACTGTACACTGCTTAACCCTTACACCTCCCCCAATCCCCCTGCACTACACACCAGTAGCTACACAGTCCTATCCCATAACCACCAGCAGCGCCATTCACAATCAAAATATGCGTAAGAACTGAACTCTCAAATAAAAAGTATTTGTGCTCTTATCTATTAAAAAAAAAAAAAATCTAGATTCTGAAAGTCGACTCAAAAAACACTGAGGTGCTCTTGAGTAAATCAGCAGCCTGCGAGATTTCAGACCCCCGCAGGCTCAGCTCATTTGCTGGAGTGCAATTTTCATTTCAAAAGTTGTCCACAAGGGGGCCCTGTAGTTTGGTATCTCTGCTAGAGCCCATTTTAACACCATGACAGTGGAAGGTACGGACCATCCAAATAAAAAGTTTACAAAAAAAGACAGACATAAGATCTGTACTAAAAAAGAGAATGGTAAAACGTATAATAGCCAGATTGCTACCCTTGTCGCTGACGTTAACACTTTCCGAATGTCCCCTTGCAGAAAGGCTAGTTTCGGCCCCCTCCCTCACTCCAACCCAATAAAAATGAAACAAAAAGGTAAAAACCAAAAAAGGGGGGAGCTAGGAGTCATAGTCTTCGTCGTCTTCGTCGTCGTCGTGTGGCGGTGGGGCGGGCGGAGGGTGCGCCGAGCTCAGCAGCGAGGGTGACGGAACGAAGGAGCCCAAGGGCGCCCCCGGCTGGAGGTACTGGGGGGGCATTTTCAGGCTGCGGTGGGCAGAAAGAAACGCGATTATCTCCACTGTAATACGCAATAAGAAGCTGCTTTGCTGAGAGTAGCGGCTGACCCCTGGAACTGAGCCACCGCCGCCAGGCTGGCGCCGGACCGGGACCCGTCCTCCTCCTCCTCCTCCTCCGTCTCGCTCTCTTCAGAGTCCTCCTGCAACACAAAGGCTGGGAGTCACGTCTCCGCTTGCCTCCCTTAACAGCGACTCTCTCTTCTTACAGTAACCCTTAACTGGCGGTTACTCGCCCACCAAGGCTGGCGAGAGAGTGACAGACCCACAGAAATTGAGGGGGAGGCAGAGCGAGACCCACAGAAGACCAGGGGGAGGCAGAGCGAGACCCACAGAAGACCAGGGGGAGGCAGAGCGAGACCCACAGAAGACCAGGGGGAGGCAGAGTGAGACCCACAGAAGACCAGGGGGAGGCAGGTAACACTCACCTCCTGCTCGGACTCAGTCCCTGACTGCTTCTTGTCCTTTCCTTTGGTGCCGGCACCCCCGTTCTTCCTCCCAGAACCTGGCTTGCGCCCTCTGTAGGTGGAACAAAGAAGTGCATACATATTATATGTGTGTGTGTATGTGCCAGCTGTGACATCCTGGGTGTAACCCTGACTTATGCACTGCGTTTTCTGGGATAGGCTCCACCCCCCAGATCCTGTTCTGGATAAGCAGATGGATTATGGGTAGGCGTGTGTGTGTGTGTGTGTATATATTATATATATATATATATATATATATATTTAAATACACATGACTAGTTAGATGAAAGCCCGCCACGCCACGCGACGCCGCGGCCCGACCTGCGCGACACCTTCTCCCCTCCTTCCGCGTGGTTATCCTCGGCCTCGCCCTGCATGTCGGGAACCGCCGCCACCAGGTCCTTTAGGAAGTCAAACTGCTGCTCGAGTTCAATGCACTGCTTTCTGAAAAGGAGCCAGACAGCACACTTTTCAAAAAGCAAGACACTAAACACAAACCCGTCTACAAACCCCCCCCCACCCTGTGCTGGTCCCAAGAGCTCCGCTGTCGTGCGGACGGCGAGGGGAGCCTTACAGGTGTGACGTGGTCATGGTCTTCGCGTTTCGGGACTGTGTCACTTGGCAGGCTTTTGTCAGAAGGGACTCCAAAAACAGCTCTAGAGCACGTGCTGAAGTTCAGTCAAGGGACACTCTGACGGACTTTACAGTAAATACGAGATCTAAGGAGACATCGGTCTAAACTGAGGCTATAAGACTCCAACGGTGCGGGCATGCTGTCAGGTTAACTCGGGTACTGTTTACATCTGAGCATGCGCACTCCTGTTTAACATCACGTCTACTGGTTCAAGCAACGCACATTAAACAAAAATCAGAATGAAGTTCTTATTATACTTATCATCCGTGCAAAGTCTGGTATTTATTACAAAAGTCCGAATAGGGGGTGCAGGAAGGATACAGATTATAACTGGAACTGCTGCCGCCACTTTCCCTATCTCTTCATCCGTCTGCATGATCTTCTTTATCCTGGCCTATGAGAAATGGACATTAACCAGGTCTGGCAAAGTGTTTGTGACACGAAAGGTACACGAACACAAAACATTATTTTCTGAAGAACATCGGGATACGAAGCCGCTTCTGCTGTGTTAGTGGATTAGTAGCTGTATTCGCCGTTCAAACTTTCCACTCCAAAGACGCATTTCTCTAGGCTTTTTTTTACCTCAAAACTAAAGAAAGAGCATTCGATACCGGCCACCACACTTGGCACATAAGCCCGGCAAGTAAGCCCCACATCCGTCTGCAACGTTAACTCAAGCCCGGGGCTCACTGAACCAATTAGGCCCGACTGAGAAACGCATCCACAAATCAACTTTCACTAGCAGTCTTAAAATAATGCGGTTCTGTACTCACCGGGGGGAACCTGGCGTTGTATTTCTTTTTTTTACTGGGCATGATATTTCCTTTAAAATAATAATAATAAAATTCCCCACCAGTATCGACGATTTCTTGTAATAGCCCTTTCCCTTATCGCACGGCCCAGCGCGAGCAGCAGTGCCTCCTCTCGGGCAGTTTCGGAAAGTTTCGGCCAGTCTCGGGCAGCATCGCGCAATCTCGGACTATCTCAGGCACCGTTGGGATTCCGCGGGGTCCTGAAGAGAGCAGCCACCGTAGTGCCGGTTACACTGGACGGTAGTCCGGCAATCCAGGGCAACCAGAGGGTGTGAGAAGTCGGGCCGGACTTTAGTGGAACATCGATTGTGTTTATGGTATTTCTCTGCCTATATAATACAGTTAGATAATGCAACTACGATTCTATAAAATGATTTCTAGTCGGTTGTCATCGGCCACTATATTTTATCTTTTCAATTATCAAAGATTCCAATGGGCGACGTAAAAACTGTTATAAATTAGCAGACGTTTCATTGGGTTTGCAAAAACAAGTGCGCTGCTGTTGGTGGGTTTACGGTAAAAGATGAGCCTTCCCATTTCGCTGTTTAAAAAAAGTTTGCACTCTTCATATCACGCGTGAATGTCCCGAGTATGGCAGAACCTTGAGTGGAGAAAGATACAGGCACAGGGCAGCTCACAGTTCAGCAAGGAGACTCAGAACACGCTAAAGTGGAGTGATCGTGGACAAGTGCCGGTCCACGTTGCCAAAGAACTCAAAAGTACGTAATGTTTACCAAGGCATGCGCGTTAAAAAAGAAGAGAGTCATTTCGCGGTTTGGGTTATTCAAGTGAAACGTGACATTTAAATTACGTATGGGAGAGAGGGCAACGCCACCCAAAATACGCCATTAGAGAAATGTGTAATTTAGGTACTGAAACTATATATTCAAATTATCTGGTTACATATGGTCTTATGCTTGATTTCGGTTTATTGTCAAAATAGAGTTGTATAATTTAATTTCAGATACACCTCTGGTACTCAAGTTATTGGCGATGGTGAATGGCTGTTTCACGGTTTATTCAAATCGGTTTAATCTAACGGCATCTTTAAAATTATACTATAAAAAAAAACAACTACTCATGTGGAACTTAGCTTTAATTTTTAGTTGTTGTTGACGTGTAGGTAATTGCGGGCGATATCTTTTTCCAGAGCATATTACCTTGCCATTTAATAATATAGACAGTCGCAGAAAACAATTGAGTGGGAAAAGCTTTATAGGGTGAAAGCCTGCCGGCACAAACTTCAGCAAAAGAACCACCTTATTCCTCGATCAAAGTAACGTTTTATTCAACGTATTTGTTAAATCAAAGCATCTTTATCCATCCATCTTCCATGCAGCTGGGTCAAGGTCACGCGATCACAGGATGCCGGTCGATCACATGATAGTCAGACTATCACGCCCATCCACCTAAACCCCAGTGGCCTCAGCCTATGGGAGGGACCTGCAACACCCGAGTCTCATTTAACGTTTAAGGACATCCTATTCACACAAAGCCATTAAAACGTATCGGAAGCTGTATGTTTCCGACAGTAAGGTCAAGGTGGATTATAGGAGAACTTAAAGTCAACGCTAGTAACGGGAACAGAATTTACTCATATTGAAGTTATAATTTTTAATTATGTAAAATATTGTTCATATATTTGACAGTTCATAACATAGTAAAAGTGCAGATAACTACAGACTACATAAGACCACTGTAAGCCTTTTGAATGGTGACAGCAGTATAATGTTTTCGCTGACGCCTAACATTTGTTACATTCATGACAGTCATTGCGGCTACAGAAAAACTGAAATACAAATTCACAAACTTTGCAGAGCAGGCTGCCGAGATTTTCTCCTGGATACACGCCTTTAAGCGGCGTATCCTCTGCACCCTCTAGGGTAGACACCAGAGCATGATGCCGGCCGGCCGTCCCTGCCTGATCTTACCCACTAAACGCCTGCTGGTCGGGTTCAATACTAAACCTGGGTAAACAAAAGCAGGGTCTCAGTCAGTACAAATGCCCTTTTCTGACAAAAATGTGGAACACATTGCTAAGCCAAGTTACCACGTCACTAGCAGTAAACCAGTAAATATATCCTTCTGGTGCGTTTATCAAATCATTCCCCGAATATAAATGAATATTTTGCAATTTAAAGGCACATTCAACTAATTTTCTTAAAAATATATATATATATGTACATAATCATTCTGTGGTGCTTACTGCTTACTGACAGATTTGAATTTACAAGTAATTTTGCTATCAATCTGTTTAAGTTTTTAAAGAAACTGTACAGAGCTACAGAGGCACAGCTGATGAGGTACCCCCCCCCCTCCCCAAACTTCCCTTTCGCACAGGGTGGGGAGCCTGATCCACGGAGGACCAGTGCAGGGGGCGGGATTTTGGGATGGCCGCTCAATCAGCCAATAACAGGACTGGAGTTCAGAACCACTGTTTAATTATTGGCAGACTGACATATCGTTCCAAAAAGCCGCACCCATACTGGCCCTCCATGGAATAGGCTCCCATCCCTGCTTTAGCGCGACATACATGTTGGTGCAGTAAACATCAGTTTATAACAACCATTAAACAGGAATAAATATTAAATGTCAGTAATATATGTCCTTCATGAGATCATTGGAAGCGAGGCCTTTCATTTACCGCAGAGACATACCCAAGATACATCAGGCCTGGTGAGGGAGCAGAGTTTCGGAGACATAATTAATGGATAACAGCTACACAAATCTATCCGCTTGGGGTGCGGGTGATCCATAGGTTTCCCCTGGAAGTACGGGGAATGTGTCAGGGTGCACCTTGAGAGGCAGGTTACTCCATCACAGAGCACTTAGACTGGCGCAGGACCAGCACAGTTTAGGGCTGCTGTACTTCTGAAGGCATGTCTCCGGACTGTGGGATGCGACCATGAGCGAAGAGAAAACCGGGAGAAAATGAAAAACTGCACAGGGAATCGAACCCAGAACCCCAGTCATATGAGGCCCATAAGCTGTCATTTTTCAGGAAGAACAGCGTTCCCCGGTTGTCTTCCCCGTCTCACTCCTGCAGAAGGTGTCCACGTCAGTGCAGCCACGCAAAGCCCGGCCCTGTGGGCCTGCAGAAATGCCCACAGCCACACAAGGCATCAGTGGCATCACCGCCCCCGTGTCACCGGGAGTCTGGGGGAAATACGAAATGGTCACTCGGGGATGGAGGAGAAAGGAGTGCAGCCAGGGTTTCTGTAGGAAGGAGGGAGGGAGTGAATCACGGGAGTTTATGGGGGGAGCCCAGACATGAAGCTGGCTTGGTTGCTGCTGTTCAAGATGGACATGAGTCGGTCATCATCCATGGAGCTGAGGTTGTCCAGGTCCTCCAGCACGGGCAGACTCGGGGTGTTCGTGTGCACCATCATGCCTTCGTTCTGCAGCAGGCTGATGATGCTGTTTGGGTAATTCATCCACGTGCTGCTGGTGCCCATGGGGTTGGACGACGCATCCACCTGGTTCAAGCCGGAGGCTCCCGGCAGTTCGGACCCCTGCCCGCTGTCGTCCGGCATCCCCGTCTGACCCAGCAGAGCCTGGATATCATCAGGATTGATGCTGTCCAGGTTACCAGTCTGGATTTCCGAGAAGCTGGGGAACTCGGGGAGCTCGTCGTCGCATAGCCCGTGATCTACCCTGAAGTGGGTGTCGGGGAGACCCGCCAGGCCGGACACCGATGCGGACACCTCCGAGGGCCCCGACCCACCATCTCTGCTTCCGAACTGCCCATTGGTCTTGGCGTCCAAGTCCTTCGCAGAAGATAATTCCGGAAAGGGGTAGTCGTAGAGGTCCGACAGGTTGACGGTGGGACAGTCCTGAGACTGCGAGGTGGCAGATGCAGAAGCCAGGAAATTATCCAATGGGGTGGGTTTAGACTGGGAAGCAAACTGCCAGCTGCTGGGGGGGACGGGGGTGGCCACCGTCACCGCTGCCCCCTGCTTACACATGGGGGAAAAGAGCTGCATTGGTTGGGACCCAAAGAGGATCTCGGGTTTGACGTAGGTACTGGGCAGCATGGGGGGTCCTGGTTTGGCCACTGAAAGTAAATAATCACAGGAGGTTAATTTGTACAAACCTAATAAGGCTGAACTACATCACACAAAGTCACCCAAGTGACAGGACACATCAACAGTGTATAAGGTACAGAAAACTTTTAGCTGACTTTCCATATGGAGGCTAATGACGCCCAAAAGGCACAATCATTTCTGAAATAGCTGGAGAAGTGGCCCATCACAGCAGACTGAGCTGCATTTAGTCTTTCCCCAGTTTCTGACCTTCAAGTCAAGTGTGGTTTTATTGCCACAGCAGCCATACCTCCAGTTATTTACAAATACAGCTGCAAAAAAAATAATTAAAAATCATGTGATCAAGCGACCAGCTAATCAATCAGTTGTGCAGCTTACCTGGCTGCATCATGGTGGCCGGGGGCTTGGAGACCGTCACCGTCCTCTTGGCGGTGTTCATGGGCCGTCTCTCAGTAGGTGTAGGACCTGAGGGGCGCAGACAGTCCGCCGGGTTAGACCACCTTCCTCTCTCTTACAGTCTTCCCATTAACCAGGTTTAAAGGGCCATCGACAGAGCTGGCTCCCAGCAAATAGCCAACCTGGAAAATATCTGTTCTCTATGTGTACATGGATCTCACATGATACATTTACTACAGATTTTCACGAGTAGGGAGGACAGTGTGTGGTTTCCATCATCAGGATGCAGCAAAGTTCGATTTATAAGAATATAAACCAGAAATGAATGGAAATAACAAGGACTGTCAATGTTCTTAAAAGCAGCATGGTGTTGAGTTCCTGCCCACGGAACCACAGGTTACCCTGACCTGGCAGCAGCGGGCCAAGCTTCAGGTTCTGGAACATTCCCTCTGTCCGCTTCCTCTTCTCCATCAGCCGGTACTCATCTGCAGAGCCACAAGGAGAGACTGCGGGTCGGATCGGGTTGGGTTTTCGCCAAGGCAGCACCATCGATTTCCGCACCCAGAACTCTGAGGCGTGAAACCTTAGCTTTCGCTTTCCAGAAATCGAAAAATGTAAATGAAACTGAAGACAGCTTACAAGGCTAAACAGCTATGCAAATATACCTAAAAATATATGCGCTACGACAGGCGTGTCCCGTTTGATAGTAGAGACGTAACCCATGTAAATGACAGCGCGCTCTAACTATAAACAGCTATATGCACATGAAGCACGAGCAACGTGCAAACGGTTCTGACCGGGTTCTGCCGGCAGGTACTGGAAGTCCACGGGCTCGCTGACCTCCCCGTCGGACGGCCGCCGCAGCTGCATCTTCACCGGGATGGGATTGCTGAGGTCGGTGCTGCTGTAGGGCGGCGTGCGGAACACGATGGCCACTTGCCGGTGCACGTCCGCCTGCGAGAAGGAGCCCTTGCCCTCCCAGGAGTCCCGGAAGAAGCGCACCTCGATATCCTCTGCATGCAGACAGACAGGGTTTGTGTGTGGAGGAGGGGGGACCCACAGCGCCCCCTGCTGGTCAAGACATTTCTACATCTTGGGGCATATTTATATTGGCTGCCATTAAGCAAACATTTAACCAGCCTGGCAGTATGTATCCGGCTGGTGAGACTGAAGTTGACAGTACAAGGGAGGAGAAGTTACAGCTAACCCCATACAGTACCAGTCAAAAGTTTGGACATGGCAAGCTGCCTACAAAGGAGAGGAATGACCTGGCTACCTGAGCTAAACACAGCAGAAATGGCTTTGGCGGAGTGACCAGAGTGAAGGAAAAGTGCATGGTCAGTTTTGGTCAGTGCATAATCCCATTTGTGCTATTATACAGCTTCGATGTCTTCATAGTCATTCTGAAATGTAGAGAACGGCACAAATAGACCTTTTTATGGGTGGCTGTGTCCAAACTTTTGACTGCTACTGTACTGCAAGTGAGCTGGGTACCTGCAGTCGTGCTCTTGCCACGTGGCACACCCCCTGCACACCCATCATCCACGTTTACCGGGGGAGGGGCAGTGGCGTCCCAGATCTATTTCCTTATTGAGGTGCCTCCACGCGCCTGTGTTTCTGGAGCGCGTTCCGTGCTCAGTTTCGGAGCGCTGGCAGGCCGAGGACCCGGGCCTCACCTTTCTGAACTTTGTCACACAGCAGGAAGATCTCATCTCCGCCCCGGCAGCTCCCCGAGTTCCTGTTCACCCTGCAGATCTTCAGCTCGGCCGTGTTCGGGGCTCCTGCGGGGGAGGGGGGGGTGGTTGGATGGAGGGCTCTGTTACTTTCACATGGCTACTGCAGAACACACGGCCAGATTCCCCGGTTCAAGGCCGGCCCACCGGCTCCCAGGCCGACTCACGATTGTCGTAGATGGGCTCAGAAACGACAGGCTGAAGAGCACAGTGCTCCCCAGTGGGCAGGGGGATCGAGGCCTGGAAACACAGCCGCACCGTGTTCAGGTCGTACTCATCCGCCCAGATGTCGGCTTCTTTAACTGCTCAAATAAAAACACAAAAAACAATAAAAATTTTAAAAAAAAAGACACAGGAAGTTTAGGTCAACAGGTTTAGCGAGAGAACAAGAGAGGAAATGTAAGAACATAAAGGCTGAGATGACCGTCACTGGGCGGTGTTTGTGGTCACCGTTACACCCACCGCTGAACGGGTTGTTGAACGTGATCAGCCTGTAGGAAATGGCCTCCGCCACATCCTTCTTCTTCACGCACTGGATGCCCAGGTTCTGAAAGCTGAGGAAACGGGACAGCGGTCAGGACCGCCTGAGGATTCACCGTCCTAAAAGCTTCGGAGCACGATTTAACCTACAATAGTCTCTAGGGCTCTGAAGACAGGAAGCTTCATTTGAAAGCTGCCTCTACAGCTTCCATCACCACCTCCCCAAAGGCCCATGCAGACCAGAGGAGTCTCTTCACAGGTCGCCTTTGCGCTCCATGTCCCCGAGGTGCGCGCTTTGTATCCCTGGCTGTTGTTCCTGCAAGTTTCTGCTTTCTTTCCCGTTTTCTACTTGGTCCCCCTCCCCCCCCCCGACTGGCATTTTTACAGCTTCACCAGTGCACCTAAGCTGGCCCACAGCTCAGCCAAGCACTATCAGGCTCAACTCACAAGGTATACAGTGACCCCCGTCTGTATCGCGGTTCAGCTATTGCACCCCCGCTAAATCGCGGATGTTTCCTCAACATCACAGTTCTCTCTGTGCGTGTGCGTGTATGTATGTATGTATGTATGTATGTATGTATGTGTATGATATGATATATATATATGCGCATTACATATTATTATTAATTAATAATAATAATAATTAATAATAATAATAATAATAATATATTATTATTATCATCATTATCACTATTATTATGTTACTCATATCATATCCGACATCCACATATATGTGTATCCAAAGGCTTAAACTATAAAAAAAAAAAAAAAAAAATGATATGGTCTTTCTATATTGCGGATTTTCACCTATTGCTGATGGGTCTGGAATGCCACTTCCGCGACAGGCGGGGGATCACTGTATTGCATTTTGATAATTACGCTCCACATCCACTGGGAAGCATGAAGACACTGACCGGACATTCAGGGGAACGCTGTCAATATGGGGTGACGAGTAATCGATATTTAAAAATGAGTAATAAAGACTAAGAGACAATACCAAAGCTGTTGGGAAAACCTTGTAAATGGTGAAGCAACCAGCTTCCTGAAGAATATTTTGGTTTATCAGAATTGGGAAATTCAGTTAATGCCTTTGCCCCAACATGACGGCCATTAGGTGACGTGGTACTCTGACGCACTCACGGCGCAGCCCCCAGCCCCCAGCCCCTACCTGTGCACGCGCCGCTCCTGCAGGTCGGCCTCATAGTAGCCATGCTTGCAGTCCTTGCCTACCAGCTCGTGGGGGTGTGGCTTGTACGGCACGTTCTTAGTCACCAGAGAGATGCGCACGCGGATGGGCCCATTGTAATTGTGGATCTGCGGAGGGGGGAAAGGTAACCAATACAGGCGGCACCTGGGAGGCTTGGAGGAACGCCGCCCTGTCGAGCACAGGGTCTGCGCTGCCGGGCACAGGGTCTGAGCCCCGGCACAGCTACACTCTGTGTAATGAGGATCAGCACATTAACCGACAGCCTCCTAGATCAATGAGAGAAATGGCTTCCAATGGAAAATCCCAGGGTGCAGGACACAGAAGGCAACCCAATTATTACTAGATATTNATAACCCGTAATTAGAGTTTATAAAAATAGCCTTACGTTTGTATGTCTCACGACTTAAAATTTCGCTAATTTTAAATGTGATAAATGGTTTTACTTGGTAAAGGTGATAGACAAATGATATTTCACTAGTGACACAAAAAATACACCGAAAAAAACAACGTATGTTATAATGTAGTAGGCCTAATACAGGCACGTACTTATCTCATCAACATTTTTGAGAAATTTCTTCATATCTTCACTCTCTTTCAGCTTATCTGTTCTGCCCAGATGTGTTGTGAAACTCATTTCGGGGAAATAACTGCAGCCACAGCGACTTCAGAGAAAAGAAAAAAGCGTATAGTTAGCGGGGCAAACAAAAGTACGCTGTCGCTGTCTCCATGGTAACTACGAATTCCGCCTGCGCATTTCGCGTAGTCTCACTTTGCCATGAAGTTTTAAATCTGTAAATCTTGTCTCTTATAACTTTAATCACACATTGGACAGTCACCATAATTTGAGTTCGACTCATTTGTTTAGTTATATTATATTATCTATTATATTGGATAAATGTGGTTTGTTGATAGTTGTTAAAATCGTGCCCCCTGGTGGTAAATTTTGGGTACTTAAAAACTTATTAGTTATTTTTAGACGGTGCGGCAATTAGACGATCAACAGGTTCATGATACAAGATGATTTATATGCCTTGTGTACGTCAGTACATAGGAATCCTTACTCATGTCAACCAGTTATTAACATGTAACATAACAGTGGGAGCAGGGATATCCTGGCTGATTCAGGGGGTTGGGAACTTTACAAAGGAATCCTGAGTATGTAAAATTATAAAATTTAATAATGAGGGGAAGCAAGCTGACATTTTTAGGGGGTCCCGAAGTTCTAGTTATGCCCCTGTTCAAAGTAGATATGTTACTAAGAACTGCAACTGCAGAGACGAGTCAAGGGTGTAACTTTGGGTAGAAACTTTTTTTTTTGGGGGGGGGGGGGGGGATACCCCTTCAAAACAGCCCTACCAATCCTCCAGGTGAAAGATTGTACTGCTGGCTTGGATTGAGTCATATTAGCAACAAATGTACGCACACAGTTACATATAATGCCTGCACAGCCATTGTTTGTGTTGATCTACATAATATTTGTGTTTGACAGAACTTAAATGACTTAGTGACCAGCTTGGACTGTCAGGGCCGCTGAGAATGAGGACGGCGGGGGCCAGAGGCTCCTACCTTAATGGCGGGATGCGTCTTGGTGCTGTCATTGCTCTTCTCGCCCGGGATGCTGCCAGCTGAGCGGCCTTCGCACTTGTAGCGGAAACGCATGCCCCTCTGCTTGGGCTGCTCGATGATCTCGATGAAGGGGGGCCCTGAAGGCAAACGCACACCTCTGCCTCTCAGTTCCGAGGGACATCATGTCACCAAAGCAGTTACCGTAACACCCTATTAGCAACAAATGACTCACTGAGAATTATAAATGAATGTGTGAGCAGAAAAGACGTAACTCACTCATGATTATTTATGCACCTATTCATGAAAGCATATTAAGGCTTTGTGACCAAAACTGCCTTAATCATACTGGACACGAGACAGGATACTCACCCTTGTTAGTAGTCCAATTAAATGTTCCTGCATAAAAAAAAGCACAATATTTTTAAAAGGTTATGGTCATTCCAGAAGAATGAACTTGCATTGAACCGAAACCAACTTAACCTATTGCATTTACACTGAACTTGTCCTTATGTACTGTAGAAGTAGAGGAAGGATTCAATACGAGGATGTATAAAACTCAGGTTATTGTAAATTGACTAAGTGTTTAGTTGGTCGTACTTGGGACAGATTTATATAATTAGTAAACTTCTCATAAAATTACCAATGGGAAACAATCTTAATGGTAAACTGTACTTGATACAACAGTAACCTAGACTGAACTTAGACTAACATTTACAGGGGTAAGTCACCCACATTAGAAACAGCTGTTTTACAGCTACTGCAATTTTGGCTAATTGCTGGTTCAACATCGGTAAATAACTTACAGATGTAGGGAACAAGTAATCCAACTGGCTAGTTATAACATAACATAACAGACTACATAAATTTGTGTTATTGTAAACTGCTGACCCTTGTGTGGATGGATGCCTCATGTGATTTTGCCTATCACCAAGATTTCAAAATACTACTCTATATAATGTCTGGATGGAATGATATGAAGAATACCACACCACCTAATCCAAGCTATGGATCTATATCCTCGACTAGGGCTGGGCGATATGACCAAAATCTCATATCCCGATAACGATACCCATATCACGGCTCGCACCTCGTATTTATGGATTTTTTTCTACAGATCAGCTGCAGCAGGAATTGGACAAAAATTTGCAAATAAAAAGGAGCGAGGTGGTAAATGCAACATGATCCACAAATAAGCAGGACCCTTTTCCAAGTGTACAAATAGCTCCGTATTTTTGTGATTTTACACGACACAAATAAAAATACATATTTGTGGACAATGACGTATTTCTCTTGTTTTTCTGTAGATCAGCTGCAGCATACAGAACCCCTAAGAGGTCAGGGTGGGAATATGTTTTTTGAAATAGTTTTGCATTCCCTCACAATACTTTTCCATTGCTAATGATAATAGTACTGTGTCCAATTAATGTACAAAATTAAGAATTATCGGACTAATCTAAACCAACCTAAATGATAGACACATGTCCAGTTTAGTGTGCTTTAAGCATTAAACTGTAGGGGACAATGCCCCATTTGGAATTTTAATTTATGTGTTTTTAAACGTATTTATTATCAATTACACTGTGTCCATTCACAATCAATGATTGTAAACAAGACAGCTGGGCTACTGAACATGACTTGGACACACAAACAGATATATTAATATAAATATTAAAATTTGACCAATAAGAAATCTGGAAAACCAAGGGGTGCTGCTTGCTTTTGTTGAGAGATATTACAGCCAGAAACTGAATGTAAAGGTAACTTTACCGCGGTGTCATAGTTCTAAACCCGAATCCCCTTTCAGCTATACCTCCTTGGTATTCATGCTGGATAATGTATGTGGGGATATGCGGATCTATACTGAAATATTCCAGGAAGCCGGTTCGAGTTTAAACCTTAACTCCAACACTGCGGTAAAGTTTGCTCTATATGCAGTTTTCCGGCTGTAATGCCTCTCAGTGTTTGTAATATATTCCAGTGTTTGTGTGTGTGCACATCACATTCAATAGCCCAGCTGTCTTGCTTAAATTCACTGGCGGTGAACGGACACAGTGCAGCTATTAATAAATACATATAAATCACATATTAAAGTCACATGGTGTACATTGTCCCCCATAGTTTAATGCTTAAAGCCCACTTTGCAGGACGTCTATTATTTAGGTTTATCCATGCCGTCACGTACTGTAGCTGCAAATAGCAATTTGGCAAGTGAAGTGGGATCGCAAAACTGCTGCGTGTGAACATAAAACAAATTTCAAAAAATAATTTTCCGCACAAGACCTCTTAGGGGCTTCTGTAGCGGTATGAACCGGACAAAACTCCACAAATCAATATGAGGGATGTACAAATGTAACGAGATTTACAAATAGACAGGACATGATCCACACATTTCATGTGCAAAAATCATTTTGTATATTTGGGGATATGAACACAGACTGCCAGGAACCATATTTCATACCGCCATTACTAGCAGAGCCTAATTACACAACATGGAAATCCTAATTGCACAAAACGTTTCATAGCATTCACCTGTAAAAGTAAACAGGGGATAAAACAAGCAGTGACTGCAGAAAGTGTTGACTTGAGGTTTATAGTAACCTCAAACAAAGCCTTTCAGATGACTATCACAAGCAAACTTCTATACAAGTAACACAGATCAATTGTTCATGAGTCTCCAACACTGACACAAATTTATGTGACTGCGTTGTATAAGACAGAAAAAGTTCAACAAAAGGGCATGGTACACACGACTAGATGCTATGGGGAGTGGTTTACTCCCAATTCCACTGATAGCACCTGTTTGCTTAATTTTTCTAACAGTGCCAACCAAGCATTGTTAAGAGCTGATTCATCAATCTGGTCATGTAGCGAAACGGGTTACAAGAAGAAAAGTTTCATTTCATGAATACTTCAGCTATAAATTTGTGCGGCCAGAGGACAATCTGAATGAAGCCACACCCACTCCCCAACACATATCCCCAATTTCCCCCATCCCAAAATCTAAATTATTTAATAGATTAGTGTATTCACCTGTAAGACTTCTGAACAACTAATAGACAAGCACTTCACTTTAGGATGAATCACTGCCACTTCACTGATACCGTCACTTTACAAGTGCTAGCTAGCCTGCCTTCATTTGCTGCTATAATTTATAATTGCTGCTATAATTTATAATCATAGTTATATTACATCTCTGCCATACTTGATATTTAAGTCGGTGCACTTGATACTTAAGTTGGTGCACTTTTTTTTAGTACCTTAATTTTACTTCATTTACCTTTTCTTATTTCTTTTACTTTATCTTATTTACTTCACTATTCATTATTGTTTATTATGTTTCTTTGTTCAGTTGGGTTATCCGGGACCGTGTGTACACAATTTCGTTCCACCTCATGCAAATGTGGTGCGAATGACAATAAACTTCCTTACTTCCTTGACTTCCTTACCTCCCATTCCAGTCCTCAGGCACCCACAGACCATGTTTTTGCTCCCTCCCAGCTCCTGGAATGTGGACAATCTGGCAGGGAGCTCAGAGGGAGCAAAAACAGGGACTGACTGTGGGTCCCTAAGGACAAGGTTGGGAAAACACTGGAATAGATGATGCACATTCAGCAGTCACCTATCGGCAAATATTTGTCAGTCCATTTCGATAAACACTTATCCATAGAAATACAATAAGCAAACTTGATATACAAGATCATACTAAAAGCCACAACCCTACCTGTTTAGTATGACCTTTTCATTATTATGCTGCAGACAAACTATATAACCAGCAAAGATAACATTCGGGTTAACCCATTTAAGTATCCTACAGCGATGCACAAACCCCCACCCACAAATGGAAAAACCAGCCTACAGAAGACTCAATGTGATGGGCAAAATAAATGCACAAGATAAACTTGCCTAGTCTTTCAAAGTTGCACAATTTCTGTTATCATATTACATTTAGGAACGATGCACAATTGTTTTCTGTAAAACAACTAAGAATGCTGGAGATAAAAAAAAAACCTTTTAGTTACTTTTATCCAAAATGACACCAGTTTGTATAGCTGGAAAGGTCACAAAGGAGTGAGTGATAGAGCATCGGCCCAGGACCCTAAGGCGGAGAACCTCTCAAACACAGTACCCCCTCCGTGGCCTTGACCACTTCTGCACCATCTTCAATACAATATTCATGTAGATAAGACTTTTTATTTTATTTTATTCAATTTAAACTAAAATTGCATTCTCTAAGGCCACTGTGTAAGAGTGTTTTGATCAGTTCACAATTCAGAGCTGTGGGTTTTAATAAAGAGCACTTTGCAGATAGTTATCATTAAGCTAGCAGGCTTGATTATGGAGGGATATCAGTGTTATTTCAGCACTTCTAGGTGTACTTATAAAACTCGTAATCCCCATATACAACTACTTTCACATCTGCTTTTTTGTGTTTCCCCCCCATCGTAAAAGATTTTACTTGTGGATTACAGGTTCCAGTCCCAACAGAATGAGCCGTATTCAATGGAGTAAGTGAGGTATAATTCAAACGCTCAGGTAAAGGAAGCTGCTTTGGATAAAACTGACAGGTAACGAGCAACCAGTGAAGCAACGGCTGAATCTGAAACCTGAAAACCAGGTTATTATTATTATTATTATAGTGGTAGCACAATAGATATAGTAGTTCGTTTTCAGCACCATTAAGAAGAATATGTTTAAACAAGTCTTTCCGCGAACATTCTCCTAGTAAGGTAACGTGATGATAAACCCCAAAACGAATACAGAAGTCAAAGTTTCACTTCTAATTGACTTCGGTAAATTATACGGTGGTTTGGTGATATAAGACGACCTGAACAGCTAATTGTCCTGCGATATATGAAGGATGATCTTCTACTAACAAGGAAATGCGAAAACTTTGACGTACATGATCAATATATGGACGCGAAAGCGCCCATGTTTGCAGGTCAGTGTTTATTTTAACCCTTAGGTAGTCGGATATGGCGATGGGACCCTCTTTCATTTACACTGCAAACGGCACAGAAACGAAAAGCGGAAAATACATAAGCTTTTATATAAAGTCTGATGACGGGTTAAATATGTATAAATTAACCAGTTTGGGTATTAAACTAAGGCGGCGAGACGGACCGAGCAGCGACCCAGCCACCTAGCGAGCGTAAACGCTACCAGCAACTCAGACGTTAAATATCCTGTAACTCTCATGCCATGTTATTCCAACTAAGTTTTACCAAAATTATTTGCCGCAACTAATCAAATAACATCTATAAGCAAATCCCAGCCGAAGAAATATCTGCAAATAGCTCAATAACAAGCACAATCTGCGTATTCAGTATCAGCTACGGCAAAGTGTGGGATTCCTCATTACGGGTCTAGGACTGTTTTTCTTGATGACAAAACTCCTGAATAAGAAATTTCAGTGTTATGGTTATGAAAACGTGACCGGGTTTCCCCCCTCCCCTCAAAAAGCAGAGTAACACCCGAAACGTAGTTGCTTTTTGATAGCTACCTCGCATACTTCCTAACTTACCATCCATTTCTTTGCTTTTATTTTCCTCGGTTAACTTGAACGCAAGTAATCTCTGTGTCTTCGATCACGAACGAAAAGACAGGCCCTTTCGCGCTCCCCTCGCCGCCGCAAGCGCCTGTTTATAAGCAATTCGTTATTTTCTCCGTGTAGCTAGTTAGCTTAGCCTTTACACTTTCACCTCCCCTGCCGCCACCCACGAGCCGTGAACGAGAAGCCGCACGGCCTCGAGAGCGCGGAAATACCCAGATGACGCAATTTAAAGGAAAAGACTCGGCTCGAGACGAGCGAAACCGTCCCGGGCTCTGACCGCGCGCAGCTGAAGGCACGAGAGGGGGTGCGAGGGCAAGGGCTGCAGCTCCTTGCGCCCCCGGGTGTGGCAGTGCAGTAACAAACCCAAAGACTTCTGGCTCTAATCTCATGAAATGATGCGCGATGTAACATGAAGGAAAACGACCCATCTCTTAGAGAAAACTGGCCGAAATACGTGTGCAAGGTCAGTGACACCACTGGCTAACAACAAATCAGTATTCGCAAGGGAGGTATCCAGTGCAGGTGGTCTGGATTTTACCTACGTTTTGAGTTGTCATTCCTTCCTCAAATTCCTCAATAATTCGGCCATTTTCTGATGATGCTGAAAAGTTATTTTAATTATTTAAATATTCACACATGCAAAAATATGATGGGAGTTTTTCCTTGCCAGTGTCGCCTCTGTCTTGCTCACTGGGGACTTTGGGCAGGGATAATGCAAATCACTTTGAGATAATGACAATAAAGTTTCTGATTCTGATAATGTAATGTTGTAAGAATGTGCTATACAAATAAAACTGAATTGGATTGAATTGAATGTCATACACCAAGCACTGACAAACTGCATCAGAATCTATGGACTGCAGACATGCTAGGCATACTGATTTCAGGAGGCAGGATGAGGGAGCCTGCTTAGAAAATTTAATCCGGAAATGCTGCAATAGCGTTACTTTTCAAAATACAGTCAAAATACTGTATACCATGGTATAATGTCTGAACGGTATGACGGTATTGAAAATTATATGCCACCCAAGTTTAGTGCTGGCTGAATAGCTGAAAAGACAGATTTCTGGGACTTTGCAGGTGTCAGGGAGCTGTTGTTAATTTGCAGGAGACTCCCAGAACTTCTGGGGAGGGTTAGGTGTCTGGGAATGATGGATACAGGGACATACTGTCACTTAACAGGATAGTTGCTAAATGCCAAAAGTATGTACTCGAAAATTATAACATAACCCAATCAGTACATTTGTGACCCAGTCCCAACAAAAACTGTAGGTTGTGAGACTGGCAATGCTGAAGTGCCTGACAGGGCTCAGCGGTGTATTAACGACTTTGGGGGCCTCCAGAATACACTTTCTCCTGCCCCCACTCCCTAAAATGACACAATTAACTATAAAACTATTAATATTAGTACTGTAACTATAAAATAATCTCTACAAAGTTAAGGAGAATGTATCAAACTATATCAAACAGAACAATCACATCATGAGAGCAACAAAACCGGCAAGCTTACACTTTCAGGTCAGTCACATGAGCAACCACACACATGCCAGAAAATACACAATGGCATAAAACAAGCACCAAAAAAAGACACATTTAATAAATGGTCTCCCTGTTAACCCATCACCAAGCCACAAACAAATAAATGGCCAAAAAAGGATCATTAAAAAATAGTGATTATAAAAAACCAGACAGCAATAGGCCCCCCCGGATCACTGTGGGCCCCTGGGCTACAGCCTAGGTAAGCCTGTTCATTAATCCCCCCCTGGCAGGGCTGATACACAAAATTGCACAATGTAGCAAAAGGAGTACAAAATCTGAACCCCCTGAGTAAAACACGGACAAACTCGTGGATTGATGAGTCATTCCCCACCAGTTTTCTACATTCAGATGTGATTATACTTGGAGATAATGATGGTTGGCCCATGGGTAACCATCTCTTGATAGTCATTAGATCTCTCCCTGATCTTGTAATAACATTTTGCAGGACCAGGTCCACCCCAAACACAATACTCTCATGATGGTTCCATATTCCAAGATGGTAATAATCCCCAAAAGAGTAGTAAAAAATGGTAGTTTCCTGAAGACCAGAAAAAAGCCCATGACTTTGCCGATCTTCTGATCCAAACAGCACTGGACCCGCATGGGAAGTTCTGGAGCACAGAATGCAAAGGATATTTCCAGCGCCATCATCCCTCAAAGAACTGGAAGCTTTTCTTCTCAAAGAATGATCCAGCATCCCAGTAGACACAGTTCAGGACATCCTTCCATCCATCCATCTTCTATCCTGGGTCTCAGGGGGTCCGGAGTCTATCCCGGAGGCTACAGGAGCAAGGCAGGGAATAACCCAGGATGGGCTCCCAACCCATCGCAGGGCACACTCACACACCAGTCACTCACCCACACACACTTACGGGCAATTTAGTAACTCCAATTAACCTCAGCATGTTTTTAGACTGTGGGGGGAAACCAGAGTACCTGGAGGAAACAGTTCAAGACTTGTGCTACAGTATTTCAAGTAGAAGTGAAAAAGTTAAGAGAGCAAAGTGTGACTTAACTTCTTATTGGGCATAATAGACTCAAGAGTTCTTTATTGTCAACACAACCATGTACAACTGGGTTGCCCAATTCCGGTCCCGGAGACTTAGTCTTCAGCGAAGTTTGAAGATGTCCCTGCTCAGACCCACCTCCTAAACCTGGTAATTGACTGGTGAGTCGAACAAGGTGTGTTTGAGTGGGAAAATCTGCAAACTGTCTTGCAGACTGATCGTTTAATATTGTCTACTCCGTATTTCATCTAGCCCCCTGTAGCGAAGCCCACAGGACAAGGAACAAGCCACTAGAGGGCACTATACAGCGCTTCTACTTCATCAGTGTGTTGCCATGGAGCTGAGCTTCTGTCAGGTTTTGCGAGCGCGCTATGACTAGACGTTTTTTTTCGCGAGGGCTGACGGTGTATCCGGCACTCCATGAATATATGCTTGCCCCACACTACATAAATACAGGGGAGTTACTAGAGATTTTGGGCTCAATGAAGGCATATCATATTGCCCCCCCCCCCCAATCCAATTATCTTCCAAACTTTTTAGGCCCTCAGTTACCCAGGGGCCCTTAGAATCGTCCTTACTCCCCCACCTCCTTACGGCACACCTGCATACATATATAGAAATATGTGCATGTTTACTAAGTAAGCTGCCTTTGTATGACTCGTGTATATCTCTTATATTATTACATTTTATAATTTTATATTATAAGTTCTTGTTTGTTTATCTTCTTTCTTGTAATATTCACATTTATCTCGATGCTTTGCTGATGAATCATAGACATTGCGTTTCCTTGCCGCTTCCCAGGAAATGGCCCGGTAGTCCCTCGACATGAGCGGTTCAGTGGTTTACGAATTCGTTGGTTTGAATCCCACATGTAGCCGAGTAAGAACATCGCCGTTAGGGTTTTAAGTGCCCCATAACCCCAACTGCATGAGGGGCTGTTGGATGCTGATTCTAAGATGTAACTTCTTATTGCTTGGGACAAAAGCATCTTCTGAATATAAAAATCAGACTCCATTCTGTCGTTGAGAATAAGCTCTGGTTTTAAACAGAATAGCTTTTAGTGTAGGTTCGGAAAATATAACGTGAAATTAATTTTTCGTTTATTCGTGATCCTGACCAGGATATGCAGTTGGGAGGTGGTTGAATGCAATTTTTGAATTCGACTTTTTTGCCATTATCCCTTGACATTCCAAAGACACCAGTCTTAATGCAATGGGAAACAAGTGTCTTTTTATATAGGCTATTACGTTTACGTCAATTGATAACACCTATATAGGAATAAAAGTGCAATTTTCTTGATTTTGTGCGATTCACAAACTAAAAGATTTTTTTAAGATAATTGCAGTTCAAATGAGGCAACGGCAAAAAATAATTAAGAAGGAATCCGGGAAGTGACATTTTAATGTATGGTTTTGCCAAAAGTTTTTTTTGTCACAAATAATTACTTTTGACGCACAGCCACAATTAACCTTAAGAACGCCACGAATGAGATGATATTGCACACATCTACACAAAACCCACAATAATTAAAACTCCTAAAAAAACATTTTTAGAAAGTTGGCACTCCGGCTACTGACAGAATTGTTTTTTGCATGCCTGAAGTTGCACGTAGTAAAGTCTTCGTTCGTCGGGCGGCGGGACCCGGGAGCCGGCGGGAGGGCTGGCGGCCAGGCTGAGTCAGCGGCGGAGCTGTGCGAGGCGGCACTGAGCGAGAGACCTCGCGACTCGCCGACGGATAATGGCGGAGGGGGAGCTGGACGTCGATTCGCTTATTTCCAGGCTTTTGGAAGGTGGGTGACTCGACTTGTATGTATGACGCCGCAGATGGCTCACGCTATGCACCAGGACGCAACAGGCCGGCTTCGGGGAGGCTCGGTGCCGGCCTTTCCTGACCGCGCCTCCCGCCTTCAGCGCTCTCGATCTCCCTTTCATCGTTAATAAGGCGGCGTCCTTGGGACGTTTACGGAAAAGCGCGTTTTCGGCTGGCCTGAGCGCCTAAACCGTGCTGTGTGAGGCGACGCGGAGCCCGGTGGGCGTCGGGGCCACAGCGGCGGCGGCGGCGTCCTTCGGTGCCCGAGCGGCCCGGCCGCCCCCACTGCTCTCGGGCTCACGGAGAACATTCTCCGTGAATGTTCAGGAATTTGATCGCTAACCGATTAACTGACAGCCAAACCCCAGTATGGCGAGCTTTAGTCACACTGGTCTGAAAATGGTAACACGAAGACAGTCCAGACGGCACTTTATTAAACCAGGAGATGATAAAAAAGAGAAGTGCACCGGGCATCTGTTTATTTATTTACCTTAGTTAGGCAAGTGTATAGTCAACTCATTAGCTACGCCTTTCCCCGGGGAAATGTAGAGATTTATCTTATTCCGTACTACAAAATAATATTATGTCAAATTACGTGAGTATAGTATACTCGTAGTGTACAACTGATTCTGCTCTTCCGTTGACTAAATGTGATTAGGCTGCATATATTGTGACACAACAATGTAACATTAGAACGAGTCGCCCATATCGAGCGCTGCCGCGAAGTTTGTGTGGAGAGGAGGTTGGGAGGCAGCTGCGACATCTTAGGTGATTAAACGGTCAGTCTATGTTCCCGTCCGGTTCGTTCCCAGGGTCGGTGCTTGAGATGCCGGGAATGACAGCCCCATGGAGATCCCACATCCAGCTCTGGGGAAGGGGGGGGGGGGTTTGTGTCACCCTGGAGTACTGTTTTAGACAAAGAAAATGGCATGGGAAACGAAGGGGACAGCCAGCCACCAGATCTTTTAAGAGCAGAGGCTTTTTTAAATTTCTATTTTTGCTTCCCTTTATCTCGAATGTTTGTCTCTGGGTTCATGGTTTGTTAGCCGCTCAAGACCACCGGGATGTCTGGATATCGACGGCGTCATGGATGAATAAAAACCTGCAGAACGTAAATATACTATTGCGTGATGAAATATTTTGCCTAGAGCATTACTCTGTGGCGTTGGACTTCATTTTGAATAATTTTAAATAAGGCGTCAAAGATGCTTTGCACGTCTGTGTATTTCATATTCTTCCCTTTGCAGTGTGCTTGTAGGTTATTGTTGATGTGAGGTGTTTGTTCTGTGCACTCGAGGTTTGTCATCATCAGAGTTTTGCTTTGCCTGCGTCAACCTCTGCTTGCTTTCTCCCTAAATGTCAGCGGCTACAGCTGTCTGCTAGTAGGGCCTGATTGCTCTTCTCCTTTTTCCTATGCAACAAATTGCGAACGTGCTCCCTCCTCCTCTGTGGGAAATCAAAGATAGCTATTCATCATGTACATTTAGCCAGATTAGCTTGTCTGGTCAATAGGCTCTTTCCCACCGCACAACACTGTTTTCAAGTTCCTGGCCTGTCTTGACTGGGAACTTTTGTAGTTCTTGGCCACTTTCGTGTGTCACTTTCCCACCACATAACATGAACTGTGTGCTAATTGAGGCACCGGTGACTGAAAAAACTCGCAGGTTAAACTTCACACGTAATTTCAGATGAAGCTATACCTCCAGCCCGAAAGAGTGCCGGATAAATAAGTCTATTTATTTGATCCTCTGTCTGAAAATACAGGACAAAATGCATTTTATTTCTATTGCCTGTGAGATGTTTATAATTCATGATTACATCTGGCCAGCAGATTGATTTTTCGTTTTCCACAGGATAAAAAACAATGTAGCGTTTATTCTGCTAATAAGCGCTGGCAAGTTTCACCACAGTCTCTGGTGATATTGGGCAGAAGTATGTCAGTTATTGATTGAATTTTCTGATGTGGAAATATGGAGAAGCAGGCCAAAAAGGTATTCATTAATGCATTTAATGTAATTCAGATACAAGAAATAATTAATTCTACTCAGTTTTTCCTCCATTACTTTTCTCTGCTCTTTCACCAGTTATCACCAGTGCTTGTGGTTGGCCAGTCACATTTATTGCTTTTAACCCCACTCAGTAGTTCCTGGTCACGCAAAAAGTACCTACTCTGGAATAGGAATAAAAAAAAAAAAAAGAAAAAGGTTCAGGAACTAGAGTCGAGCCAAGTTCCTGTGGTGGAAACACAACAGAAGTTTCTGGTTCCTAAAAACAGGTTCTGGTTACTATAAAAGGTTCCTGCAGTGTGCAGTGAGAAAGCATCAATTAATAATGTGCATTGCAGTCCAGTACTATCCATTCATTCTTCTAGCTTTGATCTGTCATATTTGAGCTTGCATTTTGATGGGCTTTATGGGAAACTCAGATGTGATTGTGATACTGCAGTAGTCACAGTGCATGACTGTATAGTGACGCATGGCAGTATGCATGTAAGGACGGTAAACATTGTATTGTTCGACAAGTAGCCCATTATGCGCATGTTTTAAAGCTTTAGGTCAGTTGTGTGTTTGTGTACTAAAGTTACAACTTTTCGTTTGTTTATTGATTTAATTAAGATGAGTTCCTCACAGAGGTCTTGGCAAATTAAGGAACAACGTGTTTTTTGTGGATTTTTATTTTATTATTAGTTTTCAGTCATTATCTTTTGTAGTCCTTGAATTACTTTATGTACGAAATATTATTATTGTCATGTCAATAATATCCAGTGCAGGGTACCAGTGACCTTGATTGCTCTCCCAGGAAGTACAGGACACACACTGGTCCAATCCCAGTCCAGCTTAGGGACACCGGTGCAAATGTTGAAGAAAACCCACCCAGGAAAAAAAATGCCGGAGAGGGCAGGAGTAAAATTCATGGCTACAGTGTCACCCTCTGACTCACCAGACCATCAGTACTGGTTTGAATCTTGTGATTAGTTCAATGATTGTCATTCCTGATTGATGAAGCTTGGGTTAGGGTTGGGGGAATGCTGGTTTACAGTGTCAGGCAAAAAAACAAAAATAAATAAGCAGCTGAATATTTTCTTTGTGAGATTTGTGCGGTCACTGCTACCTGTGTTTAATACCCACACAGATCCCGGCAGTATGGTTATTCCTTGGTATGAATGAGAGACGCTCAGGCCTTTGGAACAGCTGTGCTGGTGATGTTCTGTGGTGAGGGCTTTGGAGAGTCAAGCAGTGTGGGGGGAGATGTTTACTGTCTTTTCTGCAGTGACCCCAAAGACCCACCCCCATTCTGGGTTTATTGCTAATGGTCGTGGGCGAGTGGAGACTATTTGAAGGCTTTGTTTGTGGTGCGGACTTTGCTGCTGCAGTCGCTGTTGTTGATTGGGGAGGATGACATCAGAACTCTATGTAATCTAATTTTCTGATATGGGTCAGGATGATGCATTTGCTTGTTTATTTAATCTAAAAACTCTCCGGGTCGAATGGGCTGTCACCACGCTTGCTTTTTCATCAAGTTCAGGAAAATGTGCCGAAATAGTTCTGTTGAACAAAGTTTAGTTTTGTTTCTGATGGAGTATAAAATGTCACGGAGGCCGTCACTGAGGGTCACCTCTCGGGGGTTTGCTGCTCTGCTCGGTGTCCCGTCACAGCCGCTGTCTGAATGTTAGGGGGCCTGCAGCTGCACTGCTCTGTCCCGTTATAAATAACTGGCTCTGGCTTTGGCGGTCCGCAGCCCCCCCACGCCTTCGGCAGAGCCTGCTTTCCAAGCTACTCACCATTTAGCCTCCGCTGCCCATTCGCGCTGCTCAAAGGCTGTGTTGTTATTATTATTTTTATTTATTATTTATTATTATTATTATTATTATTATTATTATTATTATTATTATTTATTATTATTGCCCCGTTGAGTATCTAGACTTTCAAAACAAACCCTTATCCGGCAGGCTAAATTTGAGTTTGGAGATAATGTTGTGATGTTACCATGTAGATTTAACCTTGGTTTCCAAATTAGGTTTGTCCTCTGCTGTTGTGGAATGAACTCTGGAAAATTAAATTTAGCCTTCAGAAGCCAAGTGAACGTCAATAACATTACTTGTATATGACCGTAACCTCATACTTACGTAATGCGTAATGTCGCTGTAGGTTTTATGATTAATTCATTGGCCAGGGACTATTTCCATCATTAAGTTGTATGGTAGGTGCCGTACTGAAGGCTGACAGAGTGTCCTGGGCCAAACATAACCTGCTGTCACTTTAAAAGTAGAACCATGTCCTTCCCTTCTGTATAATCTGTCATCAAGCGACAGGTGAGCCTGGGCAGTATGTGAACTGAAGGAAACCATTTTGTGATACTTGAAGTGGCTCCAGAGTGCAGCACTGCCTTTGTTAGCTCGTGTTCTGTCTCGGTACCTTTGGCCCACAGTGCTGATGGTACTACAAGAATTGCTAGGATCAAATTCAGGAAATGGGGAAGCAGCGAGCCTGAGAGTGTTTGGTGGGGTGTCTTTTGATTGGTGTGTTGATAATGTCCTGAAACTGCTCCTTATTAGGGCCAGAGATCTGTATCTGTGTTACTAAATGTTATGAAATGTCCTGGCTGAGTTTGGATGTTCCCTAATGTACGTACAGTCATTAACAAAAGAGAAATGTTCTGGTTCTTGATGACTAGTTAGCCACAAACCTCTTCTTATCTGTGTTTACAGCAGCAAGAGGCCTAATGATTAAAGAGTTTTTTTTTTTATCGAATGGCTTTAGGATTAAATCTTAGGATGATTGCTTATATTCGCTATTTCCATTTATTTACATTTTGCGTAAAGCAGCTTACAAGTGAGGCAGGTAATACATAAGAAGTGTGGGATAGTTGTGGAAGCACACTGCTTAGAACCTAATATCAGAAAAGCTACGCAAATATCTATATCACCCAGAGGGATCTAGCAGGAACTGGTACGAGAACAGAGCATCCATTAGTGCCAAG